CAGACTATTATCATGCTGTCCTGTTAGACCAACTCAAGGTGTGGTTTCAGTCTGGCCTTACCAAGCTGTGGTGTGAAATTGAAGCTTTTTCTTTTTTTCCTAGAAGTAACCCTCATATTTTTTTTTTAACTATATCGGGAGCTCCCTAGTGCAATGGTGAGCAAGCCTTCTTCTATGAAGCAGGCTTCCTTGATGGCTTACTGCTTCTCATGAATCCCATTGTATGGTTGCTATTCCTGTCATTGCGCTGGAGCTGCTGATACCTTTTATCAACCTATCTAATTGGATGGACCGAGGTATATGCTTCATCCAAAACTTATTTGTGGGGTCCACTCTGAAATCCTTTTCCGACTTAAAAGCAGAGTATAGCCTCTCGGATGGGGATATTTTTCCTTACTGTCAAATCTCTCATCTCCTTGGGTCTCTTGTCTCCCGCTCATGCAAGCGTCCCCAACCTGTTTGGTCTTTCTATTTACCTGATAAGCCATAATCTAAAGGAACTATATTGTTTTACAACACCCTGCAGTGTAAGCTCACGTTCACTACATTTAAGCCTATCCAAATGCGGGAAGACTATTTGCAAATAACATTCTCTCCTCAACAATGGGTCCGTGCTTTCAACGCCACGCATAAAGCTACGAGATTTGTCAATTTGTGGCATTGGCCCACAAGATCACACTTCACTGGTATTTCACCCCACTGAAACTGAGTAAGATACAGTTGTGTGAAAAAGTGTTGGCCCCCTTACTGATTTTTCATTGTTTTGCACGTTTGTCACACTTTAATGTTTCAGATCATCAAACGAATTTAAATATTAGTCAAAGATTGTCATGGATTCGGCCGGCGCGTCTCCTCGCCTCAGCGCTGTGCCGTCTCCAGGGTGACGTCACGCCGCGCGGCCCCGCACGTAAATACCCAGCTGTTCCGATCACTCGGTGTTCTCTTAATTTGGTTCGTCGAGTGACGGACAGCGAACCCCGCAACCTCTGCGAAAGCCGAACGACTCGGTCACCCTGCAGCCTGGAGACGACCACGTTCTGACACCGGCTTCCCATTGGAACCCGGACACAGTATAACCGTGCAACCAGGCGGCACACCTCTCCCCTCATTCAAACCACCTCTAACCGCAAGTACCTAGCTGTGGAGACACACAACCTGCTGCCTCTGCTACTAGGCATCCACAATTAGCTGTGAATACTGCTTGTTGTTCCTGCACTGGTAACACCCTGAACTGTTGGAGACTGTCTCCATATAACCCCCGGTGGCATTAACCTGGCATAACGCATACTGCTGATTGTTGCATAGGAGGACTCTCTAACCAAAACTGCTTGTTATACATAGTAGCACTGTGTTACCATTAAGGAGAACTCTAACCCTGGCATATCTCATACTGCTGATTAGAGCATATTAGTGATGTGGGACAATTAGGAGTAACCTGTTCAGAATTGCTGCGCATGCTCGCAGTTAGAGGTGACTACCCTGCTACCTCCTCAAACGGGTCCTTCCAGTACCTCCATTACTACCCTTACTGTTATTAACCAATATTGCCTAAATAGGTCCAAACCCATACCTAGTCCCCAGGTGGTATATGATGCCCACGGTAATCCCACCGCACTGAGTGTAACGGGATCCGCAGACTGAACCACCTCCACTCATTCCACTTCCAATGACATCCGAGATCCCGTGACAGCTGAGATCCAACCTAACCGGGCGCTGTTACTGCAGGCCTCACTTGCCTCAGTTCAGGTCAGTGTTCATGACTTCACCATAAGAAAGAGACTGGGCAAGAGTTCCAAGACGAAAACCGCTGCTGAGCAAAAAGAACATAAAAGCTTGTCTCCGTTATGCCAGAAAACATCTTGATGATCCCCAAGACTTCTGGGTAAATACTCTGTGGACTGACGAGACAAAAGTTGAACTTTTTAGAAGGTGTGTCCCATTACATTTGGCTAAGAGTAACACCGCATTTCAGAAAAAGAACATCATACCAACAGTAAAATATGGTGGTGGTAGTGTGATGGTCTGGGGCTGTTTGCTGCTTCAGTACCTGGAAGACTTGCGGTGATAAATGGAACCATGGATTCTGCTGTCTACCAAAAAATCCTGAAGGATAATGTGCGGCCATCTGTTCATGACCTCAAGCTGAAGCGAATTTGGGTTCTGCAGCAGGACAATGATCCAAAACACACAAGCAAGTCCACCTCTGAATGGCTGAAGAAAAACAAAAAATGAAGACTTTTGAGTGGCCTAGTCAAATTCCTGACATGAATCCTATTGGGATGCTGTGGCATGACCTTAAAAAGTCGGTTCATGCTCGAAAGCCTTCCAATGTGGCTGAATTACAACAATTCTGCAAAGTTGAGTGGAGTGAATTCCTGCACAGCGCTGTAACTGACTCATTGCAAGTTATCGCAAACGCTTGATTGCAGTTCTTGCTGCTAAGGGTGGCACAACCAGTTATTAGGTTTAGGGGGGAAACACTTTTTCACACAGGGCCGTGTGGGTTTGGATTTTGTTTTCCCTTAATAAAAACCTTCTTTTAAAAACTGCATGTTGTGTTTACTTGTGTTATCTTCGACTAATATTTAAATTGGTTCGATGATCTGGAACATTAAAGTGTGACAAACGTGCAAAACAATGAAAAATCAGGAAGGGGGCCAACACTTTTTCACACAACTGTATATCCCTCTTTCCCTTCTACTTGTTGGAGACAAAGTGCCCATTCGGGAAGTCTATACCATGTTTTGTGGCCTTGCAGATGTTTGACAAGCTTCCGGTGACAAATATTTCAGAAGATATCACAGGTTACAGGTATTCTAACATCCCCTAATCCAAGTTTGGCCATTCCATCCCTGGGTATAGATAACACCCCCCTTCAATTTCGGATATTAAAAAAAAACGAAAAACCGCCTTATCCGTTTAGTCCGTTGATTAGATCCGAGGAGATAGGATGGAGAACAGAACGAGGAACTCGTAGTGTAATATAATTACGATTTATTAGGTCACATGAACGCTATGCATAGCGTTATTAAAAACAAAAGAACAACTGCTAACTCGTCTGTTACAAACCGAGTGCAGGTCAAAGTGCAGGACCTGCACTCGGTTTGTAACAGACGAGTTAGCAGTTGTTCTTTTGTTTTTAATAACGCTATGCATAGCGTTCATGTGACCTAATAAATCGTAATTATAATACACTACGAGTTCCTCGTTCTGTTCTCTATCCCTATCTCCTCGGATCTAATCAACGGACAAGACGGTTTTTCGTTTTTTTTTTATATCCGCACCCCTTCTGAGATCTGGTGCTGGGATAACCCTTGGAAATTGTACAGGGAATTAATCCACGATTAAAACAAAAGCTCTCTTTGTGGATACATCAAGACTGAGAGCGGATCGCAAAATCTCATTAGAAGAGACGGATAGAACCATAACCACCTTCACCTTTCTGGAGAAAAAGACAGCCTTTATTTCTCCGACATCTGGTGAGTGCACTCCCTATGGGGGTTTTCCCTTCTTCTGACAAATTACTCACCTTGATACCGGCAATCGAGATACATCTTCCTGGTTCCCCATCAGTTTATGAAATTTGCCTGCCCAACAGTGGGACATTATCGGACATTATATATTTTTATCTTTTATCTTTTTTACCATTTGTCATAGACATATTTATAATATTATATATTTTATTTCCTTATATATCTTTTCCACAATATTTTTTCACTTGATTTTGGTCACTCATGTTGTATTGCACATAGTATTTAAGGTGGATCCACTCCCACAGGATTATAGATTCAGTTCCTAAACCAACACGTTTTTTTCTAAAAGAACGATAAAAAATGTTTTTATGTATAGTGTTTTACACATAAATCTATCACTTATTTATATATAAAGAAGACAGCAACTCACTTTATTTAAATTTTAATTTATTCATCCAATTAACATTTTATGTTTTGCACATATTCACGGACACATTGTTTTTTACACATTGGTATTTGTTAAAGTATACCGGGAGACTCATAGCGCTGTGCCACTGACCAATTATATAGTTAAAGTTAATTTACATTCTATGAATTAGGAAAAATGTATGTCCATTAAAGATGGTTCTATTTGTAAGTTTTATAAATGCTTGGAATTCTTGATTTGATTCCTGTATTTTTACACTGATTGTATATGAGTGAATTTCTACTTGGCCCTTTTTGCTATTTCCACCTTTTCTTGTTCTTTTTATCTTCTCTCTTTCTGCCTCTTACAGCTTCTATTTCTCTTGGAAGTGTTTTTGTTTGACTTGATAATCATTTTTTTTGTTTTTTTGTTTTTAACATATTCTGGTTTGCTGTCTGTAAACACATACCATGATGCCCTCATTGTTCTATTTGATACTATTTTAATAAAAACTTATTGAAACAAAAAAGAAAGTTTAAAAACAACAAAATTACTGGCCGGATCAAGGAAAAAAATGCCTAAATAAAGAAAACTAATGTAGCCACCACATTTGAGGAATGATAAGTAGCAATCTTTAATGTGTTTGAGTTTAAATGCACTTTAAGTTACCTGAGTGACTGTAAAATGCTGTGGTATGTTCCACTCATGCTTGGATATGCAACAAAATGTCTTCATCATAAAAAAAGTCAATTTAAATATGACAAACTACTGCCAACTCATTCAGTTAGGCTTTACATCCACTTTAATATTAAACACAATGCTGACCTTTTTTCAATAAAGCCCTTTTAGCATTACTTCTTTTATATGGTTGGAAAAGGCCAAATGCAAGTTATTGGGTTCATGTATAAAAGTGTGCCAACCGTTTTTTCAACAAATTTACATTCAAATGTAATTTCTGCCATACAAGTCTGAAAGTAAAACAAACATTCTGATTGGTTGTAACCTTTCCCTTAACCACACTTTAGCACATATATCAGTTTTAAAAGCATGACAATCCATTCCAATTATATTTCTGTAAAACTAAGCATGATTAACACAAACACCTAAACGTAAATGCTTACCTGGCTAAGGCAGCAACATTTCCTAGTGTAAAAAATACGGCAAAAAGTTTTATTCCTGCACCAGGAACCCAAAGAAGTGCACTCCCCTGTTGAAAGAAACCGACAATATTGAGAACATGTAAGTTCATGCTTGCATTACAAATGTTCCATTACAAGTTGTTTAATATACAAAAAAAAAAGGTATTTTTAAGACCAGTACAATCTATTTCTTGAAGTACAGTACAGGACGCAGGCAGATTCAGAGACAATCGGGTATATGCAAGTATTATCAAGTAATTGCACAGTGGCCAGAGCTCTGAGGACCCTGTGTAACCCCTCCCACTACCAGAAATCCTTAGTTTTTATACTGTACTGCACATAGGTAGATTCAGAGATGAATGGGACTTCCCAAGCAATACAACTTGAGGGGGAGGGGGG